TCCCTCTCCTTCTCCTTCTCCTTTTCCTTCTCCTTCTTTTTCTTTTTCTTCTTCTTCTTTTTCTTCTTCTATCCCGTGGTTGGGGCAACCGTGGGGGCACCACTGCATTCTGAAAACAATCTCTCGCCTTTTATCTTTGTCCTCTTCTTTCCTCAGGTTGCCACCCATCGTCTTCCCTGTCCCCTCTGTGATGTTGTCCTCCCATCTCCTTCTCTGCCCTCCTCTCTTTCTATTATACATACCACCACATGTTCTCAACTACAATATCTAACATAAAAAACCCAGTCTACACGCTAGTTTTATATTTTAAACTGAATCTGTCACTTCCCGCCACACGCACACATTTTAAACAAGAAAGTGTCAATAACAACAACAGTCACGATTACAGCAGCAGCATCACCACAGCAAACACTTTCCTTTACAGTCAAAAGCATATTGCCAGTAAAGTGTATCGACCATTTATTATTAAGTGCAAAGGCCAACCATAGCTGAGTGGGATACAGTATTTCAGCAGACAGACAGAAACCAGAATCACATCGATTTCTCAGTTTGGGAATAAAACTCACATCTTTTTATTGTAAGACGACGATGACGAGCGTAACTTGTGCACTACAGAAGGTCACTACTCCCCTCCCCCCTCCCCCAAAAAATAAAGAAAAAGTAATAATTACAAGGTAAGAAAATTATATTTAACCCCCCCCCTAAAAAAACAAACAAACAAAAATAATCAAGGCTAAACTTAGAAAGAATGTAAGAAATCTTTTTCCAACATCTATCATCGTTATCGCTTCTCTTTCATTTTTGTGTTTGTTACTCTCTCGTAACACCTCTAATCTTCAGCGCTTATAATATAACCTATTTGTGTTGCAAGAGCTGTAAAACTCTTACTAAAACAAAAGAAAGAAAAAAAAAGTGAAGTCATTTTATCCGTCATTTTATAACATTTACTGTTGCAACATATTTATGCAAGTTAATTTCAAACCACGCCATTAGGAAAAGATATAAATAACAGATTTGGTCGTTTTAAAAATATATTTTATATTTGCTATTACTGCAACCACCACCACTATCTTCACCATAGATTCTATCACGACAATCGTTTCAGTCACCACTATTACAACCATCACCACAACAACTACACCGGCGACAATAAAACAGCTTCAATGGAAGCAACAACATCAGCATTTTCTTCATCATTGTCATCAAAAACAAAATCGAAGACATCATCATCATCACCATCATCATCATCATCAACAACAAAAAACAACAACAACAACAGCAGCAACAACAACAACAACAACAACAACAACAACAACAACAACAACAAA